AAATAAATAAAAATAAAAAATAAAAAAATAAATATTGCCCAGATAACTGATGATAAAAATGAATCACCATTAAACATTCTAGCTTTAGTAATGGATAATGGTATTGTGGTTTTTTTCCCCCAAAGTTCTTATATTTTAGATACTGACATTTTAAAAGATACAATCATATAATGCCTGAGATTTGCTTCAAAATAATCTGGAAAGGGTAGTGATGTAGGGATGCAGATAATAAAAGGTGAGCAAATATTGAGAATTATCGACGCTAGATGATGGGTACATGGGGTTCACTATTCTGTTCTCTCTACTTTTGAATATGCTTGCAAATTTCCATAATAAAATTTTTGTGAAAGGCAACTACTTACCATCTTAAAAGAATCCTTTATTTTAGAGATATGTATCAAAATATGAATAAAATGATGTTAATAACTGAGATTTGTTCTAAATAAGTGGCAAGAAGAACAGGAGTGGAGGGCACAGATGAAAACAATAGTGGTCATGAAGATAGGAAATGGATTCATGTGATTTCTTATACTATTTTCTCTACTTTTGTATTTGTTTGAAATTTTCCATAATGAATAGTATTTTTAAAAGCTACAAATACTGATTAGAGCTCCTATTCATCTCAGGTAAAACAGAGCTTACAGTCTGAGTCTAACCAGGTTAAATGCTTAATAAAACAAAAACATCAACACTCCTTGCAGGACTATAATGGAATCTAAAGTGTCTACAATAATGTACAAGATATAATCCAATTTTTGGACATATGAACAAGCAGGAAAATATGATGCATTCTCAAGCGAAAAAGAAATCAACAGAAGCCAACTCTGAGATGAGCTTGATATTAACAGTGAAATTATCAGACAAGGACTTTAAAGCAGCCATTGTAACTCAATGAGTAAAGGGAAATATGCTTGAAATGAATTAAAAGGTAATGTTAAAATAATAAAATGTGGATGAAGAGTACTCAGGAACTCTGCACAATTTCTGCAACTTCTTGTGAGTTGAACTATTTCAAAATAAAATGTTAAAATAAAAAAAGAAATAGAAATCCTAGAACTAAAAAATGTATTACCTAATTTTATCTAAAATAAAAAATTCACTGATGGATTTAACAGCAGAATGGAGATGATAAAAAAAGTCACTGAACTTGTAGATCAACAGAATTATCCAATCCAAAGAAGAAGAAAAAATGCTCCTGTGGGACAATATTATGAAGTCTAATATACATGTAATTAGTTCCAGCAAGGTAAATATATCAAAACTTCCCAAATCTGGTTAAGTTACATTATTTACAGATTCAAGAAGCTCAGCAAACTTCAAACATGATAAATACAAAGAAAAACATATCTAGGGCCGGGCGCGGTGGCTCACGCCTGTAATCCTAGCTCTCTGGGAGGCCGAGGCGGGAGGATTGTTTGAGCTTAGGAGTTCGAGACCAGCCTGAGCAAGAGCGAGACCCCGTCTCTACTAAAATTAGAAAGAAATTAATTGGAC